CAATCACAAGAAATAAGCTTATAGCGTTGGGACAGACTAAAGCTTTTAGAAGTAAACCATGAAAGATGTGGATGTAAGTAATAAAAAATAATATGATGCTTAAGGTAACATATGACAATGTTGTTTTTAATAGAAATGAGTGACGTATAAAAATTCAAAATTACAACTTAGCATAATTCTTTTTTTTTTTTTTGGCTTTTTATACAGTTGACTCCAGAGTTATGGGATATAAGACTTAATTTATTATTATTGTTTTTTATTGTACAACATATGTGTTAAATTCTAAATTTTTGTCAAAGTAAAAAACTCTAACATAATTTGATTTCTTTAGCTTTTGAGATACTTAACACAATAAATGCCAATAGAGCATTTGATTATGTTCGTATTGAGAGCGTTTCCTTGTGTCATTGTTTTTGAGTAAGTGTCAAAATCAATCAAATGCTTCAAATTTCATCATTAATTTGAAAATAATGAAATTTTTTAAAAATTTAGGGTTGATAGTTTGCATAAACTTGCTATTCATGCTGCCAAAGAAAAATTTAATTTTTTTAACCTAAGCCAAATGCCTAGTTTATTGTTAAACCAAAGCCTATCAGTTATAAATTATTATTTGGTCTAAAGACAATAACTAATAGGTTAAAAAAAGAAAAAATAGAGTAAAAGGCTATAGGTTATAATATAGATTTGGACCAAAGATGATAGTTTTATTATATGGGTCTAAGGGTATAGCTATTGGATTAGTAAAAAGAAAAAATTAGGTAAAAGATTACAAGATATAGGTTACTATTTGAGCCAAAAATCATAAGCAATAAGTTAATAAAAAGAAAAAGTTCGAACAAATATTATAGATTATAAGTTTGTATTTAAGTCAAAAGGCTATAATCAACAGTTTAATATAAAGAAAACAATGAGCCAAATGCTATATGCTACAAGTTGCTATTTGAGTCTAAGGCTAAAGCCAATAGTTTAGTAGAAAAAAAAAATTAGGTCAATACGCTATAGGTTAGCATTTAAGTCAAATGCTATAACTAACAGGTTAATAAAAGGAAATATTTTGACAAAGTCTTATATGTTATAAGTTACTATTTGAGTCAAAAGTTATAACCAATATATTAATAAAATGAAAAAATGGATCAAAGACTATAGGTTATAGATTAGTATTTAGACCAAAGGCTATAGCCAAAAGGTTAATGAATGAAAAGGTTAAGCCAATAATTATAGATTATTGTTTAGGTATAAAGCTATAGCTAATAGGTTAGTAAAAATAAAAAAATTATGACGAATGCTATAAACTATAGGTTAGTATTTAGGTCAAAGGTTATAGCCAATAGGTAAGCAAAAAAAAAAAAAAAAGTTAAGCCAAACCCTATAAGCTATAGGTTAGTATTTGAGTCAAAGGCTTATAGCCAATAAGTTACTTAAAAAAAAAATTTTTTGAGCCAAAAGTTATAGGTTATTATTTGAGTCAAGGTTTATGCTAGTCATGCTGTAAGTGGGCCAAACAAATAATATAGATTGGAAGTATTTTGAGTTATTATCTTATTAGGGATTGGGTTTCTAGCTTAGGATGAATTATTGAAATTAGACATCTAAGATATATTTGGTTTGTAAGGAAATTATTATTTAATTAAACTAAATTAACTAAATTAAACCTACATTACCAATTAATTAAACATAAAAATTATACCAAGTGAAATTAAACCCTAATTACAAACAAATTATGGACACTTTTAAATTAATCGTAAAACTTATTAAAATTAAAAAGTTACCTAAAATAGAAAGTTACTAAAAATGAAAAATTTCTAACCCTAAATAAAAAGGCTCTAAATTAAAATATAAAAATTATAAAAGTAAAATGCAATAGCTAAACATGCACAAGATAAAGTTAACTAGAACAAAAATGAATAAAAATGCAATTTACCCTAAATGATAACCTAAACCCTAAATGGCATGTAGATGCATGAAAAAAAATAAGGCATGGAATTAAAATCCTAAAATGAGCTAGATGGTATTTGGCCTATCTAATGGAATAAATACAAATGTATCAATTTATAAGCCTAAATTATACATGAGCTAGAGGATAAACATATTTATAGACATACTCATAAAACAAGTAAAGGCATGATTTAAAAACTAAAATTAACAAGATTAAGTGCCAGAAATAAAACCTAAATAGCCATGCAAACTGAAAAATAGAACCTATTAAAAATAAACAAGAAAAAATTATTTAATACTTACTAAACTATCTAAAATAAACGCCAACACTAACCTAACATGTAAGACATTATATAAACAAGATTTAAATATGCAACTGACTTAAAATGCTATATTTAAACATTTAAAATAGATTTAAAGTAGGTCCTAAATAGTATAGTTAAACCGAAACATAAACAAGAGAAAATCACATAAATAAGCAAAAATACACCTAAAGAGCTACATGCAAATTGACTTAAACATGAGTTCTAAGTATGAATGACATGAAAACAAATTAAACAGAACTAGAAACAACTTGAAAATGTAGATTTATAAATTACAAAATAGCCTAAATAGAATCAAAACAACCTTTTTACAAAAGAAGAAAAATTAACTACTAAAATGTACTTATGAGCTAAAATGTAAGGAAAAATTAAAGGAAATGCAGGAATCTATCAAAATAAACATCATGAACATATAGTAAACTTAAAATGCAACAAAAATCTATAGGAACAAATTTTTAAAAATAAAACAAAAACTAAAGTAGTATTGAAAATACACCATGAAAAATGAGAACAACATCGACTTTTCTGCCTAAATGCTAGCATAATTTAAGGTACATGAAAAATACATTAAATCTAAAAACATGTATTGAAAATAGACTTAAAAACAAGCAAAAATGCATAGATAAGCCTCTCCAAAAATTGAACACAACATCATGAAAATTTGGGTTGAAAATAATACATAAAAATTGAAAATAAAAATAAACTAAAATAGAGTTAAGCCATTTAGTACCCTTTAAATGATTTCTCATACTCAATGTCACCTTAAGTTTCACATTTAAGCCAAATCCAATATCAAACAACATAAAAATGACAAAAAATCAAAGCAAAACCAAATTGAAAATGGATTAGCATGGAAATTGAAAATTTTTTGAACTTTGAACGAAAATAAAGCTTAAAGCTTAAAATTTAAAGGAGTGAAGGCCTAATACAATAAAATAAATTAAAGACAGAACAAAGCTACTTAAAAGCAAAAAAACAAAGCTAAAATAGGGCTTAAAAAAACTCAACACGATCAGCAATGGCTGCTGTCTGTTGAATTACACCTAAGGTAATGAAAAAAAGAAAAAAAAAAATACCCAAAGGTGGCTTCCTTCTTTTAGCCTTAAAATGTTCTATTTAAAGGTAAAGTTAGGTCTATTTTTAGCCAATAAATGACCTTTAATAATACAACTCAACCTTCAAAATCCCAGGTCAAACATAGACTATTTTAAAGGTAAGAAAAATTGAAATTGCTAGTGCTCTTTTGTCCATATCATTCTTCTTTCATGTGAGCTTCAATGTGTGGTCCAATGGAAGGGTGCTAAATAGCCATATGTGAAGTGTGTTGGTAGCCACTTAAGCTCAGCAAAGTTCACTTTTTAAAGCCTCCCAAGCTCGTAACCTATGACTTTTTCAAAATTGGTAGCATTGGGAATGATTATGCATCAAAGCCACATTTCAGGCATGTTACATTCTATTCTTGTGCCAATTCCATTCTAACTTATTCCTTATTTGTGTGCTCATGTCTCTTGTGATTTTTGCTGCAAAGATCTTTCTTAATTTTTAAATAATTTTTTGTTTAAATACTAATTTAAATGATATATTTTTTTAAATAAATGAATTAATCGTATCTAATTGTGTTATTTATGTTGTGTTACTTGAGTTGTGTTAAACAAATTAATTTTAAATGTATTAGTTATGTCGTGTCACGTGTAACATGTATAATAAACATATCGTATTTGTATTTAAGTTATTCATGTCATTTAAGTATTCGTGTCAAATCTGAAATCGTGTTTAAAATGAAACACAACATCATAATAGAAATTGCCAAGTCTAGCTATAGGTTATAAGTAATATTAGTCCAAAGGTTTTAAATAGTATGTTAATAATAAATAAAAAAGTTAGACTAAAGATTATAGGATATAGGTTACTATTTTGATGTAAAGCTATAGCAAATAGGTTAGTAAAAAAAAAATTGAGCCAAATGCTATAAGCTGTAGATTAGTATTTGAGACAAAAGTTAAAGCCAATAGATTAATAAAAAGAAAAACTTTGACCAAAAGCTATAGGTCATAAGTTAATATTTTGGTTGATGTTTACAGTCAATAGGTTAATAAAAAAAAGTTGAACTGATAGTTATAAATTGTAGATTACTATTTTGGCTAAAGACTATTATTAATAAGTTAATAAAAAACTAAAAAATAGACAAAAAGATATAGGTTATATTTTGGGCCAAAGCCTACACCTAATAAGTTAATAAAAAATTGTTGGACTGAAAGTTATAAATTATAAATTAGTATTTGGACCCAAAACTATAGCCCATAAGTTTATTAAAAAAAATTGAGTTGAAAAGTATAAACTATAGTGAAACCACTTAAGGCCTCATGAATAATAAGGTCCCATAAGCACTTCACCTTAATTGTAGGGCATTGTTGAGCTTGAATTCTCCAGCCTTTCTTATTTTGCCTTGTTCACTGAATGTAGTATTGTGAAGGATTCTCCAAACCCAGAGAACTCGGAACATAGAGAGGAAACAACGAGAAGTTATCTCTATTGGAACATGTTGGAACAGTGGATAAGTGAGGTTCTTTCTGTTGTCTAAAATAGAGGACCACGAAACGAAAGAGTTGCCCTCCATTCTCAATGAGGCAAGACAGTGAAAGAATTCCACCAACTGGTTTTCTCCATCCAAATCAAAGACATAAAATGGTCAGCTTTTATATCATGTACATTAGCACCATACACTATCATGGTAATGCTTAATACAAACTCAAAAACTCGTAAGGTTGAAATCATACTCTTTTCTTAACATGTAAAAAATTAAAGAATGAAACTTATTTGGGGGTTTGGATCATTTTATCCGGTGAGTTGGTATCAAAGGATTTTACATGTTGCATTTTGGTTAAAATGTTGTCTCTCGGTCATGGTACTTATAGTATACCATCATTATAATCATCAGTGTGATACTATGTCTCATAAACTCCTATGTATCAAAATTTAAGTATATCAAGAAACTCTATGAAGGCATTTCACTATTACTATATACCAGTCTTGGCTATGTTCAAACCAAAAACAAACAAGAAGAAAAAATCCATTATATCTGGATATAAATGTTTGATATCATTACATAGGCAATGACACTATTAGTTGTTTCAGCAAGATGAAACATTAAATGTTGACTGCAACATATTAGGAGTGTAATTGTTTGGATTTTGGGAGCTTCACTTTATGCTTAATATCTAACATCAACTAGTTTTTAAATAACCCTTATTCAATACTATTGATGTAGCTGAATCAAAATTTCACATAACAGCCTGTGAAGAATTCAAACTATTACATGAACTGATCTCATTTCTACCACTAAGTGCGATAAATTTATCATTGAACATCAACATAGGACATTTATCTACCAATTTTGTACCATCATAAGCTTCTTTAAGGAGTACGGTGCTCCTTGCAGCTTTATTTGTAATGTAAAAGATACCATGATGCTTTATCAAACATAGCACTAATTTAGATGGTAACAGGTACTCTGAATGAAATGCATACAATTGTGCAGATGTCATCCGCTTCTCCATAGTCAAACTGAGGAGCTCATGAAGTAATGCCACCACTCTTTTCCGAGCCTTTGGATCTGCATGTTCAAATCTCCTTGCATTCAAGTATGGAGAAGGGAATTCCATTTTCTGCCACCTCTCAAGCTCCTCAAGATAACTCTTATTCGGTCTAAAACCAGCAGCAAAACACATTTTAAATGCAAATGGACCCAGATAGTTACCATCTTTCATGATCCTAACCTTCTGTCGACCCCCAGCAGACTGCAACACACCTTCACTCGCAAATCTCTCCTCGCGAGCAGTCACCGCCAGTGAAGAATCCCAGTTCTCCAAGTTAACATATGCTCTACCATTGATATCTTTGATGGAAAAATATTCGGGATATTTCAAAATCAATGACTTTTTAAAATCCAGAGGCAAACCAAGTTCATTTCCAATGAATTCAACCTTTTCCAATGGCACCCTACAATCAATCGACAACATTAACAACTTCCTTAGATTCTTAACTAAAATGGGTTCCATCAAATTCCTCGCCTCACCCTCTTCACTTGCAATCTTTTGGGCTTTCCGAGTGAGCGTAACAAAAGGGAGTTCTTTTCCACTACCACCACCAACATGGAATATTGAAGGGTACTTCTCAATGATGGACACGAAGTTCCATTTTTCCACAAACCCAACTTCCTTTTCAACGTCGCGAAGAAGAAGAGATTGATGCTTTTGAGATTGGATAATGGACTTTAGCTGAAGAATTAAAGATGGCTTCTTTTGCAAGTCCATTACTTTGTCAAGTTGATAGTCTCTATGGTATATTTTCTTCTTTGATCTCTTTCCACCACTTGATATTTGCCTCACTGAAACAAACATAGAGTCTGATTTTGGACATGGGATTGTTGAAGATGACAACGTCATTATAGATCTTCTTTTCATTATCAAGTAATATGAAACGACACTGCTTTTCTGAGACAAAACCTCGAACAGTTGGTGTGCAAATTCCAAAACCAATATTATCAAAAATACTAATTTGAAAAAAAAAAAAACCAGAAACGGAAAACAGATCTTAGTTGACGTAGTCAATGTCTGATTGGAATTTAAGTTAGAAATGTGAAGGGATTTTTGACAATACCTGGCGTTTGGAGACGAAGTAAGGTATATCTCCCTATGCTTTAACCTCCGCTCAATAGCTGAGGAGGGTAACTAAGCCTCGGCTCAACCGGTTAATTAGAGTTAAAATATTTAAAATTTTAGAAATTTAAAAAAACAATGAAAAAACAAATGTTCCAATCGCTAATTTGATCGGAACTATATGTTTTAATTGTTTAGAGTTAAAGGAATAGATTAATACTACGTAATGATTTATTTTAAAAAAATATAAAAAACTGTAAAGGGGATTGATTTTATTAATTAATCCACAAGTTGATTTTACTCTATATATCATATTTATACTAGTTTGTGATCGATCGGATGAACATAATTTTTATTTTTTTATAAAATTATTTTAATTAATTAAATTTAATATGATAATATTATATATTTTTTAACTAAATTTATGTTGTTATTGTATTTATTTCAATATGAGATTAAAATATAAAAAATTTTCCATAAAAAATTTCATTTAAAATTGGAAAGCATATTTTGTCTTTATTTTTCCAACAACCTATTTATTAGGTTTGGTGACATAAAACTAAAAGAAGAGATTTAGATTTTAGTGTAATATGTGTGATAAAGAACATAAAAATATAAAATTAATTCATGATTAGACAATCACTCATTTTAAAATAAGTTATTTTAATTTTTATGAATTCATCAATCAAATAAAAACATTAAAAAAATTTATAATTAAAAAATATAGGTTAAAATTAATTTTTAAAATTTTATTTTTATATGTTAAAAAAATTTAATAATTTAATTACAGTAAATTCACTTATATTTATCATTATCAATTAACCATTAAATAATAAATTAAAAGATTTTATCAGCAAGCACATTTATTGGATAACATTTTTTCCCATTGATATCTACATATATTTTAACATATATTTTAAGATTATATTTGAGGCAAGATTATAAATATAAAATATTAGATGATATAAAAATCAAATCAAGAGTACGTAGTACTAATTTAATGTAGGATAAAATTTATATAAATAAGATAATGAAATTAATAAATTTTTTAATAAAAAGTATATAGTTATTAATTAAATAACTATATAGTTTTCAAATTTTATAAGTTGTGGTCAAATTTCAAATAGTTGATAGATAATAATTTTTTAAAATATATCTTTTATATGAATTAATTAATTGAAAGTAACACAAATTCTTTTCTCATGAGATAGAAAAGAAATCTTTCATTTAATGTAATATTATAATATTAGAAAGACAATATATAAAATTGAAATTTGGTTTTTTGATAATAATTTAAAATTTAAATTTTTCAGTATTAATTATTAAATGATAATGCATCAAAGCAAACTCCTATTTTTATGTAGTGTCAATATTGAATGTTAAAAGTTAAGAATGTAATTTAATTTTAATCAATTTAAGGTAAACAATAATGAAAAATTAAATTTTAATTGTAACTTGAATTGTAATTTATTCATAAAAGGCAAAAACATTAGCTATTTATAAGGAAATGATTGTAATATTATATTTATTGTACAAGCCATTTAGATAAATCAATTCTTAACTCTTAATTTTTTGAGAGGTTTAAATTCTCATTTAACTTTACTTTGTTAATAATACTCGATTTGATCAATACTAACAATACATGAAAACTTGTTTTTTACTTTAATTTCTAAAAAACAAATTTACTCTTAAAAACTTTATACCTATTAATATAATTTCTTATTATTGGATCTATTTTTTGAAACTGCCAAGGCCTATTAATGGGTAAATACAAATCCCGAGTAATACAATAATTTATTATCTCTATTGTTAAATTTACTCCATTAAATGTCAACACATTTCTAATGCATTTTTCAAACATAAAGATACCTTTAGTTAGAGGTAATTAATTGAGATTGTACGTTAAGTGATTAATGTGAACTTCAATTTCGCTTTGAATTTTCAAAAGAAATGATCAAGTAAATCAATTAACATAATTCTCTTTACATATAATAATATTTAAGAAATCAATAAATGTATAATTTAGATAACGAATTAAAATTTTGTTTTCATTTATGTGTATAAGATAATTGAATTTCATTTGGTATTGGAAAAATTGAAATTTAGAAATTGTTAATCCCATGCAACACTCATTTGTGTAAGACATCCATATTTGTTTGGACATTCCCCTACATATCATATCCTATTTTCTTCATGGCAGTAATCCTTCATTATAGTATTTGAGATTAGACATATTCCTGGTAATAACTTGTTCGCAATTGTCATAACGTCTAGATCCAGGGATCTATCGCTAGACATTGACTTAAGGGAGTCGCCACCAATCTTTTTTATCAAGGTGCGATTGGCCACCTAAAGAATCTGTCTTTTCAAGGAACACCTAAGTTTAAGGCTCCCTAAAAGAATAGGTTCAGGTCTACTAACCAGACATGGTTCGAGAGTTCGGTTACGTGTGAGGAAAGTTATAGCACCCTCACAACGTCCATCAAAAGATGGGTACCGACTTAAATTTGTGTTATCCAATGAGCCTTAAAATTTTACCAAGTAATTAATTATTAGAAATTATTCTCAATTGACTCTAATACTTTTAGCAGAAAATTGAAAAAATTCTCTCACCTCAGGAGTATGTAAGAAAACTATTGTTTCACTTGCAGAGGCTCAATCGTCGGATTATTTAACATTAAAAAAATAAAAAAAGAAGAAAAGAATGATTTTTTTTTGTGTAGAGAAAATTGATACTTTCAATTTCTCCCCAAAATATTTTTTAGAAATTTTAATCTCGAGAAAAATTGATACTTTCAACTTTTCCTCAAAAATCCCTTTGAAAATTTATCTTTAAGGAAAATTGATACTTTCAATTTTTTCCCAAAAATCATTTTTTTTGAAAACTTTAATTTCGAGGAAAATTAATATTTTCAACTTTTCTTCAAAAATCTTTTTTTTGAAAATTTATTTTTAAGAAAAATTGATACTTTAACTTTTCCCCAAAAATATTTTTTGAAAACCTTAATTTCGAGGAAAATTAATACTTTCAACTTTTCCTAAAAAATAGTTAAAAATTTATTTTTAAGGAAAATTGATACTTTCAACTTTTTTTTCAAAAATATTTTTTGGAAACTTTAATTTTGAGAAAAATTGATACTTTTCAACTTTTCCCTAAAAATATTTTTTTTTCTTGAAATTATTATTTTTATTATTAACCAATGTTTTTAAATCATGAAAACATAAAATAAAATGAGTGAATTAAATGACATGCCTACAACCAAAAAAATCAAAATGGGGAAAAAAAATATCTTACCAAAAATTGAACTTAATCCCGAATCAAAATCAATTTAAGTCAACTTTTTGAATCAGGCCTAGATTATTTCTTGAACGGTTCCAACTCAAGGCTTTAGTTTTGATTAGTGAATGGCTCGGGGATAAGGTCTTGGGTGAGCCTGTTTTGAAGCTAGTTTTGCTAACTGTATTCTCTCTATCATTACAAACATAGGATAGGCAGCTACCCCTTTTCGAATAAATGCAGAGATGTCTGGTGCTAACGTCAATTTTGGAGATGACATACGAACAGTCTCCACGTCCTTCTGAGCAAAGGGTGGTAGCAACTGACTGTTTTCAAAAAACTTAGAAGTTGGCAAGTTAGAAGCTGTAACAGGTAATGTCACATTCATGGCTAGATATTGCATAGATTGCTGCATGGAAGGTGGCATTGGCAAGCCAGGTGGGAGTCGAAGTAAAGGTTGCTGCTGTGGAGGAAAACCATTAGTTGACCCGTAGTAACCTTGCCAAAATATAAGCATGGAAAGCCCACCATTTGTGGTTGGAGCAGATGATGGCTTCCAGTTGCCAGCCTCGGCACCTTCGCAAGTTCTTCTGCATTGATTTCAGAAGGCTGGAGAAATCTGTAATTTCCACTAATTGTAGTCGAAAACAAAAGCGAGAGTGTGCAGATCAACAGTACCACGACAACAATCACGAGCTTGGCGTAAATTCCCTTTAGTTCTCTTTCTCCTCCTTGCCTCATGAGACACCATCAGAAAGAGATGCTTCTACCCTTGCTCATCTAAGTCAAGCTTCTCGATCAAATGTCTTTTCTCACATCTTAGCTTCTTTGATGACATTCAAGTCTTTTTCTAGCCAAACCATTTGACATCACCTTTCCAGTCCTTTTTATTATCCTATCACGAGTTTTTTGCTGTTTCTCTGTAAGTTGTCCTTTGTAGATTTGCCAAGTCACTTCATCAGCATCATCCTCTGCTTCTTCAATAGCATCCTCTTACATGCCCCTCAGCTGTATCACTAACAATATTCTCTTCTGGTTTCTTGATTGATTCCATAGAGACATTTGCATCGCCCTCTTTCTGCATGGGAGAATTTGCTGGTTCTGTAGATGTACTAATTTATCCGGGTTCTTTGGAGACTGCTTCTTGACAGCAGCAGCAGGAGGCCTAGATTTGTCCAGTGCAAGAGCTTGTGCCTTTGTATCCCTTTTCTTAGTAGCTTCTCATGTTGGATCAGCAATCTTCAACAGGTACAAGACCCGATCCAACTCAGACTGAAGGGCAGACAGTTCCTTCTCAAGTTGCACTGCCCTATCGAGCACTAGATAGGATTAAAGCCCAGACACGTAAGAATCAAGTGCATCTTCAGCTCCAGTTTCTAATGCAATTTTTGATGCCAATTTATTCTTCTTACTCAACAGCAACTCTTTCTTGCCTTCAATTTCTTTCCTAATGGCATCTTCTTGCTTTCAATTTCTTTCCTAATGGCATCTGTCTTTTCTAATGCTTTTGTTCCTTTGTTGAGCACTGTAATTTCCAGACCCCAGATTATTAAAATAAAAAAAGGTACTTGTATAAAAGAGAGAGTCGTTTCTCTTCAAAATTTTTTTTGTACCAGCAACTTCACGTTCCCTTACCTGAGAGTTTCCTGACTCGAAATCTGGTGATAGTTCCAACGAAGACAAGGAAGAGAACCAAATGAAGAGAGGTTTTTGCTATACTTGCATCGGATGATTGTCCCTCGACCTATGAAAATTAGCAATGTTCACCTCATTCTTTGAATCCACAAATGCAAGCTGATCCTTCTTATTTCTTTCCTTCTTAAACTATGAACACTCTCGTTCCAGATCTGCTAGCTGCTTTGAAATATGTCCTAACTCCTTCTTTAAGCACTCAACCT